AAGCCATATAGTCATAGAAGAGAAAGGAGGCGGCGATTACAAATTTAAAGTACCCAAAATCCCTAACAGCTATTAATAATTATTATTAATATTCAAAATTTGTTCCATTGAAATTAAAAAACTTAATGCTTTGTAAACGCTTTTTTGAAGTACAAAATCCATTCAAAAGGAGGTATACAAAAAAAGTTCCAAAGAGTTCCAAGAAACTTTTTTTTTTAGAATGCAGGGAAACTTGTCAGGAAACTATCTGTTCACTGATATTTTGCCCCTTCTTGCCCCTTTTCGAGAAAAATGCATTTACGTGCGTAAATTTTATAATTGCCGATCGATCGGCTTGTCGCCATTTTGAACTCGAAATTGTTGAAGGACTTATATTTCAAGATTAATAATCCTAAAAACTTACAGTTTTTCTTCACTTTTAAGCGAGAAAAATGAGGTTTTAGAGCGATTGGAATCCTACTCCGAATCGTAGTAAACGAGTTCATCATACTTCGAATTACGCGAAGTTAGGTTATAAAATTTGCGCACGAATAAATGCATTTTTCTCGAAAAGGGGCATGAAAGGGCAAAATATCAGTGAACAGATAGTTTCCTGACAAGTTTCCCTGCATTCTGAAAAAAAAAGTTTCTTGGAATTCTTTGGAACTTTTTTTGTATACCTCACTTTTGAATGGATTTTGTACTTCAAAAAAGCGTTTACAAAGCATTAAGTTTTTTAATTTTAATGGAACAAATTTTCAATACTAATAATAGTTTTTAATAGCTTTTGTTACAAACAAATGCAATAAAAAAAACGTTGTAAACAATGTAAGCATTTATATATAGCATTGCACTGAATCGATGATAACGATGTACATTAATTCTCCACAATTTCTAAGTCCATGCATTGTTAATATCCATGTAAACAATAAACATTCATGGTTTGCTTTATACTTGAAATTAAGTTGAAAGAAGCTTTAAACAATAATTAGAACCAGCTTTGAAACCTTTTACAACGAAAAAATAATTTTACCCTATGTCCGTGTTTTGCTATGTTTCGACCCACTGTGCGTCGTCCAATTCTACTGCCAATATTTCCAAAAATCTCCATATGTTCATAATTATAAAATCAATTCTCTCGTTTGAGTAATAGTTGTAGTCAATTATTGTATGGAAGTCACAAATTCTATAAAATCATAGTAAAGCTTAATTTTTGTCAATCATATCATGTAATCATCAATTTAAAACCGTATCTTATGAGAAAAACATTAGTTTCTGGTCAGAAATTATTCCGGAATAATTACGGAAGGAGATCATACTAATGTTTATTCTTTTTAAATGTTACTGAAGATGACATGATGAGGGTTGAAACGTATATATTTTGATGTAATAATTGATGAAAACATTCGCAATAATAACTAGCGTTGGCTTTTATGCTTTGTCATATCTTATTGAGAAATGGTATTAGTTTCCAATCTTCCATATGCAATAATATTTCGAGGAATAATTAATGAAAGCGAAGGGTTTACATATGAATTAATGCATTCACCTAAAATTGTTATTCATGGTACAACATATTGTCCAAAAAAAATGTTGTTGAAATGTAACGAAAATGAACTACCGCAATTCGGAGAAATATATGAAATTTATGTTCGAGGTGATTGTAAACTATTTATAATTAAGATATTACAAACCGAAAGTTTTGAATGGAGATATAATGTATACTGTGTTACCGAAACTCATGAAAAGTGTATATAAAAGTTAATAATTTAATTTTACCACATTCTTTGTCAGCATTTAGGTCATCAAGCAATAACTATTAATTAATCATGTATGTACTATTAATTAATCATGAACGAGTTGAGTTCTTCGGATAAATCAGTTGCTTATAAGTATTTTTATTTATAACATTTTTTGATAGTATGAGTCTTGAAATAAAATTATAAAACGTGTTTGTTAAATAGTTTTATATTTCTATTTAATGCCTTAGACTTTCACAAAATAATAATAAACTATTATATACGAGGGTCGTCTGAAAAATTTCGAGCCTAACATAGAAACAACCCATGTACGATTTTAAACCTGGGCCAACAGCGGGCCAACGTCGGCTACCACCTTCCGACTGTCGGCCCAGTACTGGCTGTAACGTCGCGGCGACGTCGGCATAATATCCAAATGATAAGATCGGCCCAACATTAAATGCCAGTGTTGGGCCGACGTCGGGAATCAATGTCGGCCCAACACTGGCATTCAATGTTGGGCCGATCTTATCATTTGAATATTATCCCGCCATAGGCCCAACATTACAGTCAGTGTGGGGCCGATGTCGATGACCAATGTCGGCTTGACATCGGCATCCAACGTTGGGCCGACGTCGGTCCAAGATTGGATGCCGGTGTCAAGCCGACATTGGTCATCGACATCGGCCCCACACTGACTGTAATGTTGGGCCTATGTCGGGATAATATTCAAATGATAAGATCGGCCCAACATTGAATGCCAGTGTTGAGCCGACACTGGTCACCGACGTCGGCCCAACGTTGGATGCCGATGTTGAGCCGATATTAGTTCAATATAAATAAAAAAAGAATTGCTTTTTTTAAACTATAGTTGTTTTATATACAAGATGTTTGTAGAGTGTATCAGTGAGTGTTTTACCTAAATTAGAAATTT